GGCTTGAGCCAACATGGCAATGTTGGACAGGGCCACGCTTTGAAAAGAAGATGCCTTAGACCTTTCTGGTGATGAATCAGGAATGTAAGAAAAAAACTACGATCCTATGATTGAGCGATGTGTCCAGCGAGGTCACCCGTTTGAGGAAGGAGCGCTTCCCAGACATGCTTTGAAACTTCGGATCTTCAGAATCTGAACAAGAAGTCTCCAGCGAGAACTGTGTTCGAAAACCATCAGTCCTACATCCTTCTAAGCTGTGACGCAAAAATGAATCTGCGCGGCGTCAAGACGAGACCCACATGTTCAATTATCCCGGCAAAGCAACCTAACAGCGATGTGTAGAAGCATATATGGAAACATTCCCCTTAAGATCCAGATGAGAATCCAGTTGTAGAATTCTCCTGTTCTCGCAGTCGCAGTCGCATTCGCGATGACAGTCGCAGTGGCAACGGCAGTCACAGTCACAGCCTCAGCCTCAGCCTGCCTCAGTATCAGCCTGCCTCAGCCTCAGCCTCAGCCTGCCTCAGCCTCAGCCTCACCCTGCTTCAGCCTCAGCCTCAGCCTCAGTCTGCCTTCAGCCTCGGCCTCAGCCTCAGCCTGCCTCAGCCTCAGCCTGCATCAGCCTCAGCCTCAGCCTCAGCCTGCCTCAGCATCAGCCTGCCTCAGCCTCAGCCTGCCTCAGCCTCAGCCTCAGCCTCAGCCTCAGCCTGCCTCAGCCTCAGCCTGCACAGCCTCAGCCTCAGCCTCAGACTGCCTCAGCATCAGCCTGCCTCAGCCTCAGCATCAGCCTGCCTCGGCCTCAGCCTCAGCCTGCTTCAACCTCAGCCTCAGTCTGCCTTCAGCCTCGGCCTCAGCCTCAGCCTGCCTCAGCCTCAGCCTGCATCAGCCTCAGCCTCAGCCTGCCTCAGCATCAGCCTGCCTCAGCCTCAGCCTCAGCCTGCCTCAGCCTCAGCCTCAGCCTGCTTCAGCCTCAGCCTCAGCCACAGCCACAGCCTCAGCCTCAGCCTGCCTCAGCAGCCTCCCCTGCATCAGCCTCAGCCTCAGCCTCAGCCTCAGCCTCAGCATCAGCCTCAGCCTCAGCCTCAGCCTCAGCCTGCCTCAGCCTCAGCCTCAGCTGCCTCAGCGTCTGCCTCAGCCTGCCTCATCCTCATCCTCCATCCTCAGCCTCAGCCTCAGCCTTCAGCCTCAGCCTCAGCCTCAGCCTCAGCCTGCAGCCTCAGCCTCAGCCTCAGCCTCAGCATCAGCCTGCCTCAGCCTCAGCCTCAGCCTGCCTCAGCCTCAGCCTCAGCCTGCTTCAGCCTCAGCCTCAGTCTGCCTTCAGCCTCGGCCTCAGCCTCAGCCTGCCTCAGCCTCAGCCTGCATCAGCCTCAGCCTCAGCCTCAGCCTGCCTCAGCATCAGCCTGCCTCAGCTCAGCCTCAGCCTGCCTCAGCCTCAGTCTGCTCAGCCTCAGCCTCAGGCCTCAGCAGCCTCAGCCTCAGCCTGCCTCAGCAGCAGTCTGCCTCAGCCTCAGTTGGCTCCGGGGAGTTCTGGGAACTCGAAGAGCACGAAGTGGCCTACAGTGGCTCCGGGCATTCAAAATGTGGCCCGGGAATGGAGTTCTGGGAACTCGAAGAGCACGAAGTGGCCTACAAATGGCACATCTCAAATGTGGCCCGGGAATGTGTTTCTGGGAACTCGAAGAGCACGAAGTGGCCTACAATTGGCTCCGGGCATTCAAAATGTGGCCCGGGAATGGTGTTCTGGGAACTCGAAGAGCACGAAGTGGCCTACAGTTGGCTCCGGGCATTCAAAATGTGGCCCGGGAATGGAGTTCTGGGAAGTCGAAGACCACGAAGTGGCCTACAGTTGGCCCCGGGCATTCAAAATGTGGCCCGGGAATGGAGTTCTGGGAACTCGAAGAGCACGAAGTGGACAGTTGGCTCCGGGCATTCAAAATGTGGCCCGGGAATGGAGTTCTGGGAAAGAGCACGAAGTGGCCTACAGTTGGCTCCTGGCCCGGGATGGAATTCTGGGAGGTCGAAGAGCACGAAGTGTGTGACTGTTTGCGAAAAAACGTGTTCGGACACGAGTTCGGACACAGCTCCCCGGATGCCGCCCCGACCCCCCTGTGGAGTCAATCTGCTGCTCTCTTTTGAATCTACTAGAAACCTATCAGCAAAAGCTGTTAGGTAATGTGGCCCGGGAATGGAATTCTGGGAGCTCGAAGAGCACGAAGTGGCCTACAGTTGGCTCCGGGCATTCAGAATGTGGCCCGGGAGTGGAGTTCTGGGAAGTCGAAGAGCACGAAGTGGCCTACAGTTGGCTCCGGGCATTCAAAATGTGGCCCGGGAATGGAGTTCTGGGAAGTCGAAGAACACGAAGTGGCCTACAGTTGGCTCCGGGCATTCAAAATGTGGCCCGGGAATGGAGTTCTGGGAGGTCGAAGAGCACGAAGTGTGTGACTGTTTGCGAAAAACGAGTTCGGACACGAGTTCGGACACAGCTCCCCGGATGCCGCCCAGACCCCCCTGTGGAGTCATCTGCTGCTCTCTTTTGAGTCCACTAGAAACCTATCAGCAAAAGCTGTTAGGTAAAAAGACCTGTGATCAATCCTCGAAGCTTCTGTCAACTTTATTAAAAAACAAGTGTGAACGGCGCTGAAGCGAGAAACACATGTTGAAAAGGCGCCGCCCTCCATCATTCCAGCTGCTGCAAACTTACCCAAAAAAACCACTCACGTGTTCGCGCTAAGACGACAGCCTCATTGTAAAGTGGTACCGCCCTTCATCCTTGAAGCTGTCGCTAACGAGCGAAATGTATGTGCGCGGCGCTGATGCGAGAACCACAATGTGAAAACTGCCCCCCTCCATCCTCGAAACTGCGTCACTCTAGAATCCATGTGCGCGCCGCCAAGGCGAGAACCGCATTTCTAGAAAGACCCCCCCCATCCGTGAAGCTGTTCCAAGTTTCAAGCTTCAGGGTCAAAAGCCCCAGCCCTCTGGGCGTGAGTGTATTAGGGCGATTCCTCTTCCAATCCCCTTCTTCCTCTTCGGGGAGGAGTTTACCCCTCCCCCTACCATAGATGGCTCCAAGAGGGCGTCAGAAAGCCGAAAACTACCTCCAAGATGGCTCAAGTTGGCTCAAGATGGATTCCAACATGCTCCAACAGGCCCCAAGACCACCCCAAGGCGGCTCCAAGTGGCCATGGAGCCTTCACAGGAAGTCACCAAGAGGCCAACATCCGCCCAACAATCTAGAGAACACCAACGTTGTTTGCCTTCTCGCATGTTCGCATTCGCCGTCCCTGCGAGCCCTCAAGATGGCTCCAAAGGCCCAAGAGAGCCCCGCAAGGAGCCTAGGAGGGTCACAAGACGGCTCCCCAGAGCGCCCAAGAGCGTTCCAGGATCGCTCCAAGAGCCAAAATTTGAAGCTAAAGAGGGGGCGAGGCTAATTGCGTACCCCCCTGTTTGATCAATGTCCTTTCAGATGGCCCCCGACGCTCTCAGGAGGGTGAGCCCCAAAGGCTACCAAAATGGCTCCAAGACGGCCTCAAGATCCACCAAGAGCTCCCCACCAACGGCTTCAAGAGGAGACGGCTGAAGCACAAAAAAAAAAACACAATCCGCGCCGTCCCCTCTTCCGACATCGTTCCCCCCCACCTCCTCGTGTTTCTCATCATCTTCCTCCTTCTCCTCCTCCTCCTCATCCTCCTCCTCCTTATCCTCCCATCTCCTCATTTTTCTCATCATCTTCCTCCTTATCCTCCTCCTCCTCCTCATCCTCCTTATCCTCCCACCTACGGTTCACTAGAAGTTGGGTGAGAATGTGCTCCATCAAACTAATATTCCTTGTGCGTGCCTTCCTCGCCGTCCTCATCCTCCTTCTCCTCCCCCATCCTTCCTCAGCCTCCTCCTCTTCCTCCTCTCGCCTCATCCTTGTCCTCCGCCATTCCTCCTGGTTATGCTCAGGCTGATTCAAAACTTCGAGTTGACCGGCTTCCCCAGCTTTCTGTTCCATGCATGCTGCCCCACTTCACTGATCAAGGCGACTTGCCCGGGCATAGTTTTTCGATGGGCTCGTTGGGATACACGAAGCGTCAAGAATAGTGAGGACATGTCAAGCGAAACGCCTGGGCCGCCCTACCGACACGTCTGGGTGTGCGACAGAGAAGGGCTATTTTGAAAGAAAATGAAGGGAGGGAAAGGTCAACGGAGGAGGGAGCGATTGGGGGCAACGAAAGGGGGGACTGCCATAGGGGGAGGGAAACATCGACCTGGAATCGGCGGTACATCGCCGAATGCTCGGCGATTGACCACCGATCGCAAATCCGCACGCTCCTCTCGGCGATGATTGGGCGATTGGGGGTCGATGCACTCCCCCCTACAGCCAGACCTAGGACAGACGAACATCGTTCAAGAACATGAGACCCTCCGCCAGCCAAATCACCCCAATGAAGAAGATCACCGAGGGTACCCTCCCCCAGAAGGTACAAGAACATCCAGTAAGCACGAAGAACATCTGGGGTTACCCTCCCCGAACCGACCTCGATCTTATACACCTCGGTCCGACCGTATGCCCATCCCCCCCTGTCGTTGCCCCCGAATCGGCGGCGAGCAAGGGGGGGAAGGGGGCGGGACTTCTCAGAAGCCATCGCGCCTTCTGAAACAGTTTCTTTGTCTTCGGGCAAGGCTCAGAACACTTCTCAGAAGACCGGGGGACGTCCGAGCATTCTGAGAAGGCCCGCCCCTTCTCACTCCCCCCCGCCCTCGCTCGCCGCCGATTTTCAAGGCGAGGGGGGAGGGAGGCAGGTCCAAGGCTTAGGTCGGGCATGTCCTCCTACAGGCGGATTTGGTGAGAAAAGTGTAAAAAAGCCCAAAAATAATCAAAGATGGTCAAACATAGTCGAAGTGTCGACCCCAGAGTATTTTTGTACTACTTTGGGATACTCCTCCTGCAGGGGGACATGCCCGACCTTATCCCAGGGGGGGGGGGGGCGAGGGCCTGGGGGAGGGAGAGCGGCCTCGTCCCTCATCGTGAGCCCGAGCAGCTCGCGCATCGCCGCCGTGTCTGCGCCTCCAGGGCGGCCAGGAGGGGGACGTCCAAAAGGGGGGGGCGCGCAAATCCATGGCCGGCGGCACGTGCGCGGCCTGGGGGGGGGGGGCCAGGGACGCATCGAAATAAGAAGAGGCGCCGTGAAGTCTGGGGAGATGTCATGGCCCCCGCCACGATCTCCACCCCCCCTTGGTCAACACCCCCCTCTTTGCCGCCCCCGACTCCAGGGCGGGGGGGAGACGGAAGACTGGCCATCGCTCGGACGCCCATTCCCCGTGCATGTTTGTCGATCTCGTGCGCGTTTTTTGCTCGCGGGATGACCCGGAGACGGGAGACTGGCCATCGCTCGAACGCCCATTCCCCGTGCGTGTTTGTCGATCTCGTGCGCGTTTTGTTTGCGCAGGATGACACAAAAGGCTCCTCGATGGTCGTAGCCGAGAAAAAATACACACGTCCGAGCGATGCCAGTGGAAGGAAAAAAAACGGCATAAAAACATATGCTTTCGACGGTCCGCGCGGATTTCTTGGATCTGCACCAGACACCCTCCCTGGCGCGCGGAGCGCGCCAGGGGCGGCGCTGCAGGCGCCGCCAGGGGGGCCCATGAGCCGATCCAAGAAATGTGCGGACCGCCAAAAAGTGTATGCCTATTTGGCGGCGCGCACAAAGGGGTGGAGGGAGGGAGGAGGGTTTCTTAAAGGAGGCTGGATCTTAGAAGGCGGCGACCCTGCATCTACAGAGAAGGCCCGCGCCTTCTAAGAAGCAGGGGCGCTTCTAAGAAGCCCTCCCCCCTCCCCCCACCCCCCTCTGCGCGTGGCTGACCTATGCCGCTCCTTGTTCTTCGAGCCGGGGGGAGAGGGGCGCGCTCGTGCTGGTAAGGCCCGAACGATGCCATGAGGCGAGGGGCACCCCCGCCGCCGGCCGGCCGCCCGCAGGCCTCTCCGCCTCCTCCTCCTCCTCCTCCTCCTCCTCCTCCTCCTCCTCCTCGTCTTGCCCGCCCCCCCCCCCTCGCCTCGCCCTCCTTACTCCCTCCTCCCCTCCTTACTCCCTCCTCTTACTCCCTCCTCCTTATTCCCCCCCCCCCCTGTACCGCCCCTCCTCCTTACTCCCTCCTCCCGCCCGCCCCTTCGCTCCGCCCCCTCCTCCCCTGATATCCTGGCATCTCAAGCTTTTCGGCCCGGGCGCTGTCGCCTCACTCCGGGCCCGGGGCCCTCGCAGATCGATCCGGCTCGAGAAGTGGCGCACAGAAGATGGGGTCTACGGTTCCAGCTGTGACTTTTCACGATGTTGCATCTTTTTAGCTATGTCGGATCTGAGGGTCCTCCTCGTCCTCTGGCTCCTCGTCTTCCTGCTCCTCCTCCTTGCCGTCGCTCCCTTGCCATCGCTCGGACATCCATCCCCCGTGCGTTTATCGGTTTCGCGCGTGTTTGTTTTGCTCGATCAGGGTCCTCGCCGAGAAATAATGCACACGTCCGAGCGATGCCAAGCTCCTCGTCCTCCTGCCTCTCGTCCTAGTCCTCCTCCTCCTCCTCCTCCTCCTCCTCCTCCTCCTCCGATGCAGCAAGCGGAACGAGGAGAGGCGAAGGGAGGAGGAGGCGGAGGGGGATGAGAAGAGGAGGAGGAGGAGGAGGAGGAGGAGCAGGAGGGAGGCAGGGAGGAGAGAAGATGGAGGAGAGACGAGGGAGATGGAGGAGAGACGAGGGAGGAAGGAACATCTGGCAACCTCCCCCCCTCCCATCCCTCCCCCGAGGCAACACTCCGACGACCGCCTCGCCTCCCGCCAGCGGCCGCAACGGCCGCAGCCGGCCGCTCCCCACGTCCAGCACCGCCTCCGAGGCGAACACGAGCCGCGCCTGCAGGCCACGCGGAGGCGCACTTGGACAAAAGAAAACGATGTACACACACACACAGACAGACACACACACACACACACACACACACACACACACACACACACACACACACACACACACACACACACACACACACACACACACACACACACACACACACACACACACACACACACACACACACACACACACACACACACACACACACACACACACACACACACACACACACACACACACACACACACACACTCACACACACACACACACACACACACACACACGCAAACACACACACACACACACACACACACACATTCTGGCCAGGCCCATCCTGAGCCCAGGATCGGTGCAGATGCCTTCCTGCCGTGGCCATGAAAGCGTAGGCACCGACCCTGGCCAAAGATGTGCATAGTTCTCTTCGCCATGCGTTCCCCCAGCCGCTGTGGAGGCCCTTCGGGGAGCACGTGGAGGAGGAGGAGGAGGAGGAGGAGGAGGAGAACCCATGCACAATAGAGTGTCTCGTGTGTATAGTGCACGCTCCTTGCAAGAGCAAATTGCTGCCTCTGTTTTCGCATGTTTGCAAAGCAGAGGCATTCCCCTCAATGACGGCTCTGAGGTTGATGGCACGTCTTTTCTGTGTCCTTTCCTGGTTCCCCTGGACCCCTACCGTGGGGCTCTGGAGTGCCAAAACCTGTAACCGTCGAGGGTAAATAACCTCTATGCATGAATTTAAGCATGAAGACACAGAGACCTTGGTTGTCCCTATGAGCGTGGGCAGCAGCAGGAGGAGGAGGAGGCCTCTTGGGAGCCTCTGGGTCCCCTCTTGGGGGCAAGAATCGAGCTCTGAGCACACAAGCGCGCGCGCGCACGCGCCGCTTCGCGCGCCGTGCGCCCGAGACGCGAGACTTGCACGTGCCCACCGCCCCCGGCCACGCCCACCCTGTGCCCCCGGGAGCGGCGCACGTGCCTGCCTGGCCGAGCCGAAAGGGCGTACGCACAGCGCCCGGGCCCCGGGCGGGCCGGGCCAGGAGCGGTGGAGACGCGAAGACCTCGTCGCCCCAGGACGTACAGTGGAGGCCAGTCCACAGGAAGCCTTCCACAAGAGACCCACCCTGAGACCCCAGGACGTCCATTGATTTTTGGTGTGGGAGCCATCGGAACCCAAGGAAAGCAGGGCACCCTGGAGGCAAGAAGGGTGTGTTTCTTGCCATGGGCCTCCACTGTAAGGCGTTGTTTGCCCGTCTTCGGCTTCCTGGGTGCCCTTTCCGGGCCAATGGGACAGTCAACAAAAACAATCGGGAAGAAAGGCCTGTCCCTGAGAATGGGAGAGTGAGAGGGGGGGGAAGAGAATCGGGGGTAGAGGATCGAGGTTCTCCTGGACATTTCTGGCTCCCCCTGGGCCTCCAGATGCTTGCTCAAGCCTTGAAGATATTCTGACCCCAGTCAGTCCAAACCAGGGCCAGTCAGGCCATGCAAACCCCTGCAAGATCCTGCAGGATCCTGCAGGAGCCTGCACCCAAACCCGGGTCAATGCGACCCTGGCCCTGCAGGATCCTTCAAGATCAGGCGCTCTGGCTCACCCCCGATTGCAACACCGCCTCCTGAGCCCCGAAAGCCTTGGATATCGTGAGGGCCAGGGACCCCCGCGGGACCTCCGCAGGCCTTCGGGGATCCGTGCACACATCCGAGGGGAGGTCGTACACCCGGCGCATGCAACATCCATAGAGGCCACACGCTGGATGCGCGTTCGGAAAAGCCTGGCGCGCCTGGGCCACAGCAGGGACGAGCGCGCCCCATCAATCAAGACCGCAGCCTTGAACAGCCGAATGTGTACCCGGCTCTCGTCCAGGCCAGCCGCGTTCCAAGAACATTTCGCACAAACCATAGAACAAGCTCTTAGAATATCCTTTCGTGACCCTATAGGCAATTCGGTACGCTCGGCCACTCCTATGAAGCTACTGGGAGATCTGCGTCGGAAGGATTAGGGAAGATTAAACCTCGTGTGGATGAGGCTGCGAATTGAGCGGGGTTGAGCCAGATCCAGCAGCGGGATCCAGCGGGAATAGGCCGTATCATAGGCCGGATTTCGGACCACGGAAGAGTCAGAACGTCACCTCCCAGGAATTGCATACGAACCACCGCTTGACCTCTGCCCCCCCTCGGCCTCCCCCTCCCCCGCGCGCGCGGCCTCGGTCAGCGCAGTCTCCTGCTCGGCCGCCACGGCGAACCCCTCCCGCCTGGGGAGAGCACCGCAGCGGCACGGAGCGCAGCGTCGCGGACGGCGCGAGCTGCCGCGCCGCCGCCGCGGGGGGGGGCCGCGTCGCCGCCGCCGCCGCCGGAGAACCACGAGCGGCGAGCATTCGGAGGCAACTACTGGGAGGTCTTCGCCGGAAGAACTGAAGAGGACCAGGCCCCATTAGCGGGCTGTTCCGCCGGATTGAGCCGCGGATTCAATGGGGTTAAACCGTATTAAGCAAAATCAAGCAGGAGTTAGCCAAATTAAGCTGGTTTTCGGACCAGGGCAGAATCACAAGTTGACCCCCCAATCATTGCGTCCGAACGAACATATCCGTATCCACGCCCTCGCGGTCTGGACTCCAGAGCGCAAGGAATATTGTTTCCAAAAGTTCATACCGATGCAGCTGGGAATCATAAGGTCTACGACTTCTGGGCTGGCAAGACTCAAGGCTGCGCAGACTCAACTGAAAGTAGCCCCAACCGTCCTGAATAGACCCATAGGGCACTCAGAGGCGTGATCAACCAAGACCCCCGGCAAACACACTCGGACAAAACGATGTTCGGCGATACCAGGCAGAACGCAGAATGAATCGGCGTTGACGATCACGAGACAAAACAAGCGATGAACAACGACCCGCAGAAAACGGGCAACGGATAGAGCGTACCGTGCATCGAAAGGCACAAGCTGGAACCCACATGACAGCCTGGCGTTGCAAGGAAAAAGTGATTGATAAAGGCTGAGTTGGTGAGGTGAACTAGGTGACCGATAAGGATAGGATCGTGTGAATATTAAGAGCTGAGTTAGGGCAAGGCAAACTGTACTGTGAACTGCGACTCTCGTCCGCCCTGGACCTGAACAAAGGTGCCACAGGGGGTAGACTAACGACTGAACTTAGCAGCACGTCAGCGCGAGCAGTGGACTTTGCGCTGAGAAGCTGGGCTTCCTCTGTTCGCTAGAAAACCAGCTTCTCGGAAAATGCTCCTGCCGCAGACTACCATCGCAAGAAAGCTGCCAGGGATTGAGCCTTCAGCTCAATCCTGAGTCCTCCTCTTCACTCCTCCTTTTTCTGCTCTTTCTCAGCCCCCCTCCTCCATACTACATTTCTTCTCGTCGCCCAAACTTCTCCTCCTCTCCAAGACCCCCCTTCATTCCTCCTCCCACCTTTCTCCTACGGGCGCGCACTCGCTGCGCCTGGCTCAAGGCAATAAAAATTCATACTCCCCTTCCCCTGCCACGCTTCCCGTTTCCCTCCTCACTCCTCGTCCCGGCTCCCAGCTCGTCCCCCTCGTCCCAGGACGGGGTGCTTCTGAGGAGCCTCGACGGGCGCTCTAAGGAGCTCTGAAGAAGCCTCCACGGAGCCTCGAAGGAGCCCCTCAGAAGCCGTTCGTGAGCTTCTGAGGAGCCTCAGAGGAGCTTCTCTGAGGAACTTCTTTACCTCAGGAGCCTCCACCCCTGGGGCCTCTGGAGAGCCTCTCAAAGTGGTAGTATACGCAGTCTGTAGAGGCTTCCTGGATGGGGTCGGAGTAGATGGGGTCGTCGGCGATGCACCGGCGATGCATCGTCGACGTGGGCGATGCATCAGCAACGTCGACGTGAAGCAAATCGGGCTCCGCATCGGTGATGCGGCGCGATCCTGCGACCCCATCTACTCGGACCCCATCTGGGAGGCCTAGAGTCTGAGGAGATCTGCAAGGGAAGAACCCAGAATACATACCAGAAAAGAACCCAACTTACGGGGACGCAAACACAGATGATTGCCCGTGCACAGCGGGCCGGGCGGTCCACTGGGCCGGGCCGCCTCACTGCAGCGCGCAGCAGCTGCCTGGACGGGAGGGGCCCGCCGCAAATGCTGCCCCCGCGGGCGAGGAGGGAGGAGGAACGAATGAGCGAGTAGGGCGAGGTGGTGAGGAGAGGGGAGGGAGCGAGGGAGGGGGGAGAACGGGTTGGAGGATGCGCGCAGCTTCTCGCGTCCGCCGCCCGCTCACCATCCTCGTTCCCTCCCTCCTCCCTCCTCCCGCCTCCATCCCTCCTCCGCCCCCTCCTCCTCCTCCTCCTCCTCCTCCTCCTCCTCCTCCTCCTCCTCCTCCTCCTGGGCTCCTCGTCCTCCTTCTCATCCTCTCCCCTCCTCCTCCCTCCTCCTCCTCCTCATCCTCCTCCTCCTCCTCCTCCTCCTCCTCCTCCTCCTTCCTCCTCCTCCTCCTCCTCCTCCTCCTCCTCCTCCTCCTCCTCCTCTCCTCTCCTCCTCCCTCCTCCTCCTCCTCCTCCTCCCCTCCTCCCCTCCTCCTCCTCCTCCTCCTCCTCCCCTCCTCCTCCTCCTCCTCCTCCTCCTCACCTCATCATCATCATCATCATCATCATCATCATCATCATCCATCATCATCATCATCATCATCATCATCATCATCCTCATCCTCATCCTCATCATCATCATCATCAGCATCATCATCATCATCATCATCATCATCATCATCATAGCATCATCATCAGCATCATCATCATCATCATCATCATCATCATCACATCATCATCATCATCCCATCCTCATCATCATCATCATCATCATCATCATCACCATGATCACCATCATCATCATCATCATAATCATCATCAGCATCATCATCATCATCATCATCATCATCAAAATCATCATCAACAACAACATCATCATCATCATCAGCATCATCACCACCATCGTCCTCATCATAATCACCACCACCACCATCAGAATCAGAATCGTCATCATCATCATCGTCATCAGCATCATCATCGTCATCATCACCATCACCACCATCATCATCAGTATCGTCATCATGATCAGCATCATCATCATCAGCATCATCATCATCATCATCATCATCATCAGCATCATCATCATCATCATCATCATCATCATCATCGCCTGGTTCGCGCTCGCCACAGAGGGCAGGGTCATCCGGACGACGAGGGGCTCACGCCAAGGCTGCCGATTCGGCGCCTTGATCTTCAATATTAGCATGGCCCTGGGTGAACTTCGGATTGCGCTTGACGAGCTCAAGCTCACATTCGTTGCGGAGTGCGAGCCCAGCGGCCCGCCAAGGGCCCACCGGCCCGGCGCCTTTCCCACGCACATTGTGCCAGTTGGGAAGTCACGTACGTCGACGACGAGGCCATATCGATTGTAGGCGGAAGACAACACGAGCCTCAACCGCAACGTCGCCCTTGAAGCCGAAGCGGCGCACACCACCATGGCGAGGCACGGCATGCAGCTGAATTTGAAGCCCGGCAAGTCAGAGGCCCCCATCATGTCGAGGGGTAAGGGCGCACGGGCCGCCAAGGCAGAGGCGATGTTCGGCGAGCGCCCTGCCTTGGCCCTGCCTGGAGTCCCAGGCATCGAGTGCCCCGTGGTGAGCGGGTACGAGCATGTAGGATCCATACAGTCTGGGGTTGCGTCATTTGCCCTGGACATACGTGCACGCCTGCGGAAAGCACCCGCGGTGTACCACAGCCTGGTGCGGAAGGTCTTCGCAGTGCAACACATGAGCGTACAGCTCAGGCTGCGATTTTTTCAGTCCCTCGTCCTCTCAGTGCTGTTCTATAAGTCTGAGCTGTGGACGCCTTCGCGCACGCACATGCAATGGCTGCACACATTTTATCTGCGCGTCGTGCGCAGGATCGCCCACGAGAGCCGTTTCCCGATCCCTGGGAAGCCCCGCCTAAGCGATCTTGCACTTTTGCAAGAATTACAGCTTCCTTCCGTTGACACTATACTCAGGCGGCGCCGCCTGCTATACACATCCAGCTTGATCTGCAAGCCCTTCCCTGCGCTGCAGGCCCTCCTCCTGCCCCACTCGGCCTCCCCCTCCCTGCGGTCTCAACGAATTCTCGCCGACCTCCAGGCGATTCCTGGGCTCGCGCCGCCGCCAGCACGGCGCGACCAAGATGCGCTAGGGGACCCAAGCTCAGCAAAAGAAGCAGCCGAAGGACAAAATTCATAGCCACCGACTGGTGGAAATGGAGACGTCTCCCCCGAGACGCTACGCTAGGATCGGCGTCTTTTGCCGACGACTCCACAGATCCTCTTAGAGTTCCGTGCCCGGAATGTGGCAAACTTTTCAGTAGCAGCAAAGCCGTCGCTACGCATAGGATGAGGGTTCACGGCCATCGGAAACCCGTGGCGTCCGTAATCCCAGCAGGGGCTACGACATGCCCTGCCTGTTCAAAAGTTGCGGGAACACCCAGCAGCTTTTAGACCATGCGCAGTACAGAGCTCGCAAGTGCCGAGATGCGATTCTCGCACTCTGATGTGCCTTTCCCTTGTTTGTGTCTTGCCGCACGACTTAGGTCTATGGCTTCTGTCTGGCTGTCATCATCATCATCAGCATCATCATCAGCATCACCATCATCATCATCATCATCATCATCATCATCATCATCATCATCATCATCATCATCATCATCAGCATCATCATCATCATCAGCATCATCATCATCATCATCATCATCATCATCATCATCATCATCACCATCATCATCATCACAATCGTCATCATCGTCAGTATCATCATCCGTATCATCATCTCCATCATCATCATCATCATCATCATCAGCAGCAGCAGCAGCAGCAGCAACGTCAACATCATCAGCATCAGCATCATCATCATCAGCATCAGCATCATCATCATCAGCATCAGCATCATCACAATCAACAGCATTATCATCAGCATCAGCAGCAGCAGCATCAGTATCATCAGCAGCAGCACCATCAGCAGCAGCATCAGCAGCAGCGGCATCGTCATCAACACCACCACCAGCAGTATCATCATCAGCAGCAGCAGCAACACCATCATAGGTACCAGCAGCAGCATCAGTGTCAGCATCATCATCACCATCAGCATCATCATCATCAGGATCATCATCAGCACCATCGTCATCAACACCATCATCATGACCATCACCCTCAACATCGTAATCATCATCATCATCAGCAGCATGAACATCATCATCATCATCGTCAGCAACATCTTTTCGCAATCATCAGCCCCATCATCTCCATCATCATCAACATCAGCATCACCATTATCATGAACATCACACTCTGTCATCATCGTCAACATCATCATCCCATTGTTGTTACCATCACCTTCACCGTCACCACCATCATCACCACCGTCGCCGTCATCATTACCACCACAACCGCAACATTCGCCGTCATCACTACCATAATCATCACCACCATCATCATCGGCACCATCATCACAACCTTCACCACCATCACCGTTATCAGAATCCTCATCAATATCCTCATTAGCATCATGATCATCATCATCATCATCATCATCATCATAAGCATCACCATCATCACCATCATCACCATCATCACCATCATCACCATCATCAACACCATCACCACCGTCATCGTCATCATCGTCACCCTCATCGTCATCGACTCGAACAGGCCTCCAGAACCCCAACCCGCCACACCCCGTCAGGGGGGCGAGCGGGCGCCGCTTCGCACCGTCGCAGTCATGCCTGCGCAGCCCTTCCTGGTGGCCTCCTGCTCGCGCGCAGCCCGCTGGCGACTTCGCAGTGGCAGCGCGCTGCAGAGTCTGGGCAGCCCCGCGCGGCTGGCTGCGGCTGCTCGGAGACCCATCCCGCCAGGGCGCGGCTGATACGTTTACAGTTATGTCGGGCATTTCCCACTACAGGCGGATTTTGGACAAAAGTTGAAAATACCCGTAAAATGTTCAAACATCTTCAGAATTGTCAAAAAACTCGTCCCCAGACTATTGTTTCACTATTGTTGAATTTTCCTCCTGTAGAGGGACAGGCCCGATATAAGATTTGTGCCGATGAGCTAAAAGTAACCGGGGTGCGTCTGGCGGGAAAGCTCGAGGAGCAAATGGTAGGATTGGCTGGAGGGGGGGTCTTGAGTGAAGTCGGGCACGTCCCCCTACAAGCCGACTTCGGACGGAAAAATAATCAAAAAATCATTCAAAAAATACTCAACTGTTCTCAAAAAATCGTCCCCATATTATTTTTTGACTATTTTTGAATATTCCTCCTGTAGAGGGAGACGCCCGATTTAAGTCTTGAGGTGATCGACGTGTGGGAGGATGATGGGTGTGGTGCTGCTGGAAGTCGCGTGTCCTGCGGAGGGGAAGAAGGTGCTGCATTGGCAGTCGCGCTCGAGGGAGCTACGCCAGGTTCTCGTTGTGCCGCCTTCGGCGTTCTGACACCGCTGGGATCGTTCAACCTTGAACGATCGGCCGTTTCCGAAACGCCAGAGCGTTCAACATCGACCGATTCTGGGTCGCCGGCGGTGTCCAACATTGAACGCCAGTGGCGGGGTCCCCGCTGGTCGACACGACGCAAACCTACCGTACCTGGCCATTCCGAAAAATCCAAGAGCGGTTGGCGAACGGCGGCGGGGACGATGACCCGAGGAGAGCGACAATCGAATCTGGGATCGACTGCAGAATTGATTTACCCCAAAGTTGATGTTCCCGTCAGATCTACAAACAAATCGTAGAATGCTCCGTGGACCTACGGGGCATTCTACGTATCTTCTTAGATCTGACGGAGAAATCAACATTGGGTAAATCCATTATGCCATCGATCCCCAACTCGAGGCATGGACGCAAACCCAACCTTTGCCTGGCATGGTGCTCGCTTCTTCCATGGTGTTCATTGTTCGCTTCTTCCGCGCTGTAGATTCGCGCGCGCTGCAGGTCCAGCGGGCCGATGCCGGACGCGCGTTCCGCAGCCATCCCTCCCTTGTCGCCCCTACTGGCTACTCGTGTTCCCCGTGCTGTGAGTAGCACGAGTGGATAGGGGCTTGTTATA